AGACTAGAAGACAAAAATGAAGCTCCATCCAGGAGATAAAACAATAACTAATTCATGTTGCATACATTTTAGACATACTTAAGAGAATCACATTTATCATTTTTCGCATACATAATTTTTACAGCTTTAGAGTCAAGTTTCAACTTCAAGACGAAAGATACTCGATTCAAAGGCACTTTCAAAAGAGATTGATGGTCGTTGCTTAACTCAACAGCGATGAGCTACACCTCAACCAATTTGATCAATTGAAAGATCGACGGATTTTAAAATCAACTTCATATGGGTTCGAGAGTCAATTCAGAACGGATCCAGCTCAGCTTAACTCAACGACGAGTGGCTAGCTTTCAGTTAACGCCTTCAAGCTAGACTTCAACTCCACGACGGAAGATATCTGACTAACAGAATTTAACACTTGGCTTTCCCGTGAAGGGGAATCATCTAAAGAATTATGATCGGCTTAGACCAGTGAAGGGGTCAATCCTTCATTAGAGAAATTACAGCACAACTTAAGTCGAGAAAAGTTGTCTCTCAACACAACTTTCCAGTTCATAGTTTGATTTAGATTTCAACTTCACAGCGAAATATCAAACTCGAAACGACGCAACTTATACAAGATTTGATTTCAACTTCACAACGAATGATGTCCAACCCAAAGCCAATTTGGTGAAGCACTACAACTCAAAATTGGATTTCAACTTCTCAACGAATGACATTCAATTCAAAGCTCAACTTCACAGCAATGAGCCATCCACGATTTCAACTTCACGACGAATGATATCGTACCCAAAGATTGACCCAACTTCACGATGAAGGAGTCATCTGTGACACAACAATGAAAACACAATTTTATTCAGAGTCAATTTCAAATTCACAGCGAAAGATATTGAACTCGAAAGTAATACAATTTTGGATTTCAACTTCACAACGAATGACATCCAATTCAAAACTCATCTTCACAGCGAATGAGCCATCCACAATTTCAACTTCACGATGAAGGATATCGTGCCCAAGTGGATTGACTTAGTTTCACCGTAAATGAGTCATCTACAATAATAGAGGGTTATTTCCCAGCCTATTACAATATAGCTCAAGGCGAGAAGGGCTATCTGTTAACCAAAAGTGTCGAGTTCGATTCCATTCAGCTCGATAACATATCAACTGCTTGGTAGCAACAAGGAACTACTTTCCGATTGAAGTTTAAACTGAGGTCTTTTAAGTCAAGAGGAAGATCTGGGGTAATCTCTCAGCTTAGTACAACATAGCTCAAGGCGAGAAGAGTTATTTGTCAACAAAAAAACTGTCGAGTTCGATTCCATTTAGCTTGATGACATATCAACCGCATGGTAGCAGCAAGAAACTACTTTTCGGTTGAAGTTTAAACCGAGGTCTTTATGTCAAGACGAAGACATGGGTTAGCTGTGTTTAGTGACAAGAAATTATCTTCCAGCAGCATAGCTTAAGTCAAGAAAAGTTATCTGTCAATGAAAACTTTGAGTTCAATTCCATTCAGCTTGAGGGCCTATCAACTACATGGTGGTGTCGAGGAACTACTTTTCAGTCAAATTTTCAAACTGAGGTCTTTAAACCGATGAGAAGACCAAGGACTATTACGATTTGACAACAAGAAGTCACCTTCTGATTTAAATTTTGAACTACGGTTTCAATTTCATGAAGAAGTATATCATTTCAAGACAGACTTAACTCCGTGACGGAGGAGTCATCCGCAACTCAATTTAACAGGGAGTTATTCCTAATTGCAATATCAGAGTCAATTTTCAACTCCACAATGGAGGATATTAGACTCAAAAACCCCTTCATACCGATCGAAAATATGTCATTTTATTTTTGTCATATTTTTTGTTACACGAAAAAGGACAAATAGGGGCAGCTATAGACACACATTTTCGTCTGAGTTATATATATAATATAGTATATTTTGAAAATATTTTCGAAAAATGTATAACAAAATTTTTAGAAAACATTTTTTGAAAACATATATAATATATAGTTTTGAAAATATATATAATATATAGTTTTGAAAACATTTTTGAAAATATATATAATATACAGTTTTGAAAACATTTTTAAAAATATATATAATACATAGTTTTTGAAAACATTTTTGAAACTATATATAATATATAGTTTTGAAAACATTTTTGAAAATATATATAATATATAGTTTTTTAAAACATTTTTGAAAATATATATTATATAGTTTTGAAAATATTTTGAAATATATATATAATATATAGTTTTTAAAAACCTTTTTGAAAATACATATTATATAGTTTTGAAAATAACTTTTGAAAATATATATTATATAGTTTTGAAAATAATTTTTGAAAATATATATTATATAGTTTTGAAAAATTATTTTTGAAAACATTTTGAAAATGTTTTGAAATATATATATAATATATAATTTAGAAAACATTTCAAATATATATATATAATATATGATTTTAGAACCATTTTTTAAAAATATATGTAATATGTAATTTTCATTTACATTTTATTTATTTATTTATTTATTTTTATTTATTTTTTCTTTTTTTTCTTTTTCTAGGGTCTAAATAGTCCAATGAGGCTCGGTTTGGAGGAAAATGGGCATGAACTAGCCTAGCATATTAGGGTTTCTGGAACCCAAGCATTAGCGCCGCATAGTGGTTAAAGCCCGAAGGGTCACAAACAACCTGAATCGAGTCAGCCGAGATTCTCGGCGTTCGAATCGGGGCAGCCCGAGACTGAACCATCTCAGGATTTTAGCTAGCAACCTTCACACCCCGAGTAAATCGGGAACGGGGAGAGTGACTCCTGTAGCCATTGGAAACAACCCCCCAACGGGGGGCTATATAAGTCCCACGCCGGACACAACAAGGGGACAATGACATAATCGAACCGCAGAGAGAAACGAACAAATAGAGGCCACTAAGGAATCAAAAAAACATATCCAAAATGAGAAACAGCCATCACAATACCGAGAGAATCAAGAACATACAACCATAACACAAACAAGCCAAGCCAAAAACAATGTTCAAATGAGAGAAATAAAAAGGCTCTAAGTTATATCGGAGTGCATCTCGGAAAAAGAGCCACCAAAAGTCGAAAGGTTCACCGGGAAAGGTAAAAATTGATGATTTAAAACCTAGATCTACGCCAATTTGTGGGATTTGGGGATTTGGGTTTTGGTTTCGGTTTCAGTTTCCTGGGGTTGAGCGCTTTCGAAAGGGGTAAGCCTTTGGTTTTTCGGTCGTCAGAGGCGTCGGCGACGCGGTGGAGAGTGGACGGGGATAGTGACAGGCCTTCGACCGGTCGGTTTTAGGTGAGAGGTTTTCTGGAGAGTGTTTAGGAGAGTTTTTTGGTTTTTTTTCTAAGTTTGGTTAAAATGATTTTTTTTTCGGTTTATTGGTATTTATAACCAAGGGGCCTTTGTGTAATTAGGGGATTGTTAAATTATTTCTGCAGTCCCTCACATTTTGATGTGTAAATCGTTTTGATCACTTGTTATGAATTTACCCTTGAATTTCGAATTTATTCAATTTTTTCCCTGTTTAAAGTTCTTATATTTTGCGAATTGACCCCCTTACATTTTTGTTTTTCTTTTGCAGCTCGTTTTTAGCATCAATTTGGTATGTAAATTTTAATTCGTTCCTATTTGATCCTTTAATATTTTTTATTTTTATTTTATTTTTTATTTTTTTGGAATAAAAATTATTATTGTTTTTTTCCTAAATGTTTTTTTAGAAATTAACATTTTTTATTTTAACATTTTTTCTTTTTATTTCTCTTGTAATATTAGTTCACTTTATTATTACCTTTTTTAATTTTTTATTTTATTTTTTATTTTTTTTTTATTTTTATTTCTTAATTTAACCTTTTAAAATTCTTTCTTTTGTTTAGAATTTATTTATTTTATTTTACGATCTAACATTTTATTTGCTGACCCTTTTTTAGAGAAATTTCAATCAATCAAAGGTAATCAGTTCGAATCAAATGTTTTAAATTTCAATTTAATTTTAATTTTCGCAACTAAGATAAACGACAAATTAAATGGTACCGAAAGGACAGTTCAAAGGTGCTAATCCTTCCTTGACAGTAACCGACTCCCGAATCCGACATATTTTTAGTAAAACGCAGATCAAGTAAGATGGTGTTCGATCAACCAATTTTAAAAAAAAAATTATCAGTGACGGTTCTAACTCATTTATTCAAGTCGAAGCTCAATTCCAGGTCTACCCAAAAGACGGCTACAACAGTACCCTACTGCCTTAGAAGAGTTCCCCGTCCGCGTTAATGCTAACTTGTCTTTCTTTCGATAGTCTGGTACTGCACTCTTGTTATATTCACAAATGCATACACAAGGCACAAATGATTCAAATAGTGACCTTATGGAGAATAGGATTGTAAGTATGAGAGATGACACCGAATTTCATGTTAAGAGGTGAATCTCTAAAATTTTATGTAGAGATCAATTTATAAAATTTAGGGACGAAAATAAATTTTTAATAAAAATACATAGAAAATATACAAAATATATGATAATTTTAAATTTTTAAAGATGACTGTCCCATCTATCCTTCGTGTATAGTATGCAAGGAAAGAAATTTTATCTTTAAAAAATACATTTATTTTTTTATTAAACTGGAGTAATTACAATGTGTGTATAGTATCTATTCTAAAGATTCTAAACCATTTGACAATGAACGCTCAAACACCTTTGCAAACGCTGGTGCTCAAACCCGATACCTCTAAGAACAATAGTATCTCCCTAGGTAGCTTGATTCATGCGAAAAATACATTTTTTAAACTAACTCAGATTCCTCTCATTTTATCTCCTCTTTTCTTTTTAAATTGGAATGATCTATCTTTACGCATGAAAATAAAAATGAACACCCCTCATTTTTCCCCCTCTTTTTTCTTTCATACTAAACACACTCCAAATTAATTTTCTTTCCACTTTTCCACCAAACCAAGCAAAGCCTAAGAGTGGGTCATGAATAATAATTCCTTGCTTGAATAATACACAGAATGTTTCAGGTGGCACAAAAACAGAGAAATGAAAGAGGCTACAAATTTCAAGACCATTAAATTGGATCTAAAGACTAGAGCCACGAATGCCTTGCGTTATAGATGCTTTACCTCTAATTAAGCGCTGGTGCTGCCAATATCAAAGTCCATGGTGTAGTCATATTCGATTGTTGGAATTACAGAGGCTACAAATTTCAAGAACAAGAAAAGATACCTGCAATAATTCAGTTGAAACAGAAATTCATTAGGAAAAAAGTCAAACTACGTAAAAACTCAGAGAATTGCCAAAATATTAATAACTGAATTAGCTGCAGTAATCCAATCCAAAAGTACATGCATACTGCATTTTTAAAAGCGAAGGAGAAAATTATGATGACTTTATCTGTAAAGGAAAATTGTGCCAAATAGTTCACCCTGCATACATGTTCTCTTAAAGATGAAAGGGTAGATTCAAAGCAGTTTAGTCGTAAACGAGGAGCCAAAAGTCTTACTTATCAACTTCAGGTTCTACTCCACGTGACATAAGTACATCGATGATCTTTTTCATTACAGCCCCATGTGTGCATGGATGCACAGATGCATGCTTCCCAGGTAAGTGAGGATGGCCCCCAATAATAACCTGCATCCAGGTAAATCAGCAAAGATTAGACATTTTCAAAATTCATTTAGGAGCAAGCAGATAAAATAATGAGATGAGAAAACTGAAATCCAACCTCGTGCTGTTAAAAATGAATGGGAGATAATCTCAATTAGTGATTATGACATACCGTTTTGTGTGCGTGATCCTGACTAACATCCTCTAGCACAAGCTCAGGTTGTAAAAGCATCCTCGACTAGGATCAAATTCAGACGGGGAAAATGATTTGTAGCCATATTGATAAGTTTGATATTTGAACCAACAAATATAGATCAGTAAAAATAGGGATTATCCAACACCTGCCTCATCATATCCAGTAAGCCACACACTAGGAGTCTGATAGTATTTATCATACCTACAAATGATAATGTTTGGCAAGTTTGAGACTTCAAAAGAAAATGCATATTCTGTAAACAAATCCTAAGCAAGTTTGTAGGAACCCAAATTATCTTACGTGATGCTGACATCATAGGTTCGGGTCCATAAAATATTGTCATCATCAGGTTCTTGAGCAACAAGATATGTTGGTTGTAAAGTTGCCTGCATTGATCAGACATTCATCATATCAGAACACAAACATTTGAACCTCTAAGGGGGGATTGGGAAGAAGAAATTAGAATCCTATCCATAAGGAAAGGTTTGTTAGCATAAAACTATATTGTGCATCTTATTACAACATAATCATTCCTTTCCTTCCTTTCCTATCCTTTCCTTTCTGCCTCTCTTTTTCACCTACCCACCCTCACCCATATTAACAAAGATATGTAATATTAAGATAGTACAGGATGTCGGTTGATAAGCTTAAAACTCTGTTAAAAGGCTAATCTGCATCAATCGTTTACAAAATGGAAAGGGGAAAAATAAAAACCAGTTGCCCAACTAGTTTTTGAATCTCAGAAATCAAATGAATTTCCTAACACTTACCGCATCAGTCTCAACAAGATTGTCAGCTTCTTCAAAATCAGCCACGTCGGGTATATCTTCTTCATCCTCCCCACCCCCAAAATACGATGGTATTGATCTTACAGTTTGATTCTGCCTGATTTCTAGATTCTCCATTGAAGGAAGGTTTTCCTCCATATCACTTCTATTTGTCAGGAAGACAAGTTGTGTAAAGTCCGAATTTCAATCTTAGAATTCAAACTAGTACAATCTCAAGGAACAAGATTATACCTTCGGGTTTCCCATGTGTTGCCAACCAACCATCGTTGTCTTCATTATCCAGAAGGACCTCCCCTCCCGCAGCCTCATATTCTTCTTCTACCGACGCAGCTCTCCTTAGGTGTTCAAATAACCGAATTAATTCGGTTAATCGATAGAATCGAATTAGTTCAGTTAATTTGGTTCGATTATCGAATTAGTTCGATCGATTAACGGTTAAGAAAAGTTTTAGAATTCGGTTAACGGTTAATTCGATTCGAATTCGGTTAATTAACCGAATTAACCGAAATTAAATTTTAAATATTAAATATATTATATATAACATATGGGCTTAGCCCAAACCATTTAAAACACAATTAATAATTTAAGATCCAATATCTTTTAAATCTAAATCAATATTAATTAATTAAAAAAATTATATAAAATTTATTTTATAATTATATTATTTAAATTAATTGTAAACTATTTTTTTAATTAAAAAATATTAAATATATATATATAACATATGGGCTAAGTCCAAACCATTTAAAATCAATTAATAATTTAAGATCCAATAACTTTTAAATCTAAATCAATATTAATTAATTAAAAAATTTATCTGAAATTTTTATTTTATAATTATATATTATTTAAATTAATTATAAATTTTTTTGAATTAAAAAATAATAATTTTTATATACAAATTAGAAAATTTAAAAAAAAATTGGTTAATTCGAGAATTAACCGAAATTTATTCGGTTCGGTCAATATGTTCGGAAAAAAGTTCGTTTCGATTAATGGCTAAAGAAAAAAAAAAGTTCGATTAATTTAGTTATGGTTAATTCAATTCGGTTCGTTTTAACTGAATGAACAGTCCTAGCCCCTCCTTAGGCAAGGAACTAACAACGAAATGATCAAATAGTATTACTAGCACTAATCATGATATACAATTCAAAGGGAGAAAAATTGTTAATATTTTTATTAATAAATAGGTTGCGATCTATAATGTTAATATTTTTATTAATAAAATACGTTATACCCAACAATGTTATGGTTCACTAAGAAAGCATGTTGCAATCTGGAATCTTAATATTTTTAATAATAAAATTGTAATACCCCTAAACTTAAATCAGGAATTGGAAGCATTACCGAAACCGAAAACAATAGCAAGATCGTTGAACTTTGAATCAAACATACGCAGTAGATAATACAATTGAAGAGTTATTTTTTTTAATACAAGATTAACAAATCTTAATCAATTTACTATCAATTAATTCGATTAAGACATGAATCCCAATTTAGTTAAGGTAGTTTCATTAATTCCAATTTATAATTCATTATGTCGATTACTAATAGCAAGCCAATGCATATCCAGGAATTTATGAACTTGACATACTACATCATCATTTCATAACTATCTTATATATTTACATTACAAAAGAAACCCTTAATGGATTATACACAATGGCATACTAATAAGTTAGATACATTCAAAAAAAAACCATTATCGATGCATACCCTAGGGTCCATTAACTCCATAGACTATACTATTTCATTAGGTTCTTAGGTACATTGCATATACAACCCAATTACCCACCATATGCATGAAATTTGAATCATTATATTCAAAACTAAGCCACCAACTAGAAGTATAAGGATAACGAAACAAGCCATACTTGAATTTCTCCCTTGGAATGATTAGCTAAGGAGGTGGAGCTTTGAATACTCTAGAACATGTGGTTTGGGAAAAAAATGAACAAGAGTGATAAGTACTTATAGTATTTAGTGAGGCAACATTTAAGTTCATTGAATCTTTACCATATTATGTGTAACACCCCAACCCGTATCCGATCCGGATCCGAGTCCGATGTGTCACATTGACTTTTCAAACATTTTTCCTTTACAAAATGACTAAATTAAATTCACAATTTCAGAAAATGATTACTTTTTCCTTCATTTAAAATCAATTGGTTTTACAAACATATCAGAGCTTATACAATTTATATATTTAAACTACATGTCAACTACACTCTATATAACAAAATACATATACTTAATTAAAATTCTGATATGATCTGTGGAAAGGAGAATCTGACATGTCTTGCTACTCTTAGCTTCTCTTTTTGCATCCCATAACCTACGTGTGAAAGACTCACACGCTAAGTCGATGACTTAGTGAGGCATAAATAGATTAACTATAACATATCGTTACTCATTCCTACTATGCACACTTCATGCAATCATCATAAACTATGGAATGCATTATGCATCAAAACATAACTACATACATATACATATCGTTTCATTATCCTTATTATAATTCTTATCATTATCATTGATACCCTTTACTCACCATGCATACACCTCATATAACACATATATAACTACATCAATTAACAAACATATCATCATGAAATTTCTGTAACACACTTTATATTATCAAACATACATATCACATATAGGGTATTTGTTATTATCTCTTTATTAACCCATGTACATTATTGAGAACAGGAGGTACGTGAGTACATTGAGGTTGTGCACAAATGTTGTCACCACAGCTCAAATAAATTCCCACTAGGGGCACTGAAAATTTGTCCCAAATGACCACTATGTCCCGAAGAACCACTCCTTAAGAACCATATACATAATACAATGGACCAAAAAAGTGTACCGAAGTACGGCATATATGTTCCATAGAATTACATATATGTCCAGAAGGACCACGTAGAACCCTCGACTCTTGGCATGCCACTATACCTCTAGCTCTCATATTATATAACATGGGCATTATCATTTATATCATTTCACATATGCACATAAACACATAGTTCACTTTCACATATCACGTAGCTTCTTTTCACGTATTTCATGTCACTTTTTATATAATTCACATATACCACATAGCTTATATCTTTTAATCATTTCCTCACATCACTTCTTATCACATAACTCATTCAACTATATATATAAACACATCATTTATTATCTAATAGTTCATGTCACATTTTCATATAATCCCACATTTCATCACATATACACATGTACCCATTTCATTTATATTAACTTAATCTATTTACCTAGTTCAGTTCCACATAGCATCTAGAATCTTCTCATATAACTTATCTTACACATTCATATAATCATTTATGTTTATGCTTCCTAACTTATATATTGTTTTTATAGTATCCTATAGTCAATGTTATTTACCTTATTTCATTTCTTAGTTAATCATATAATTCTATTATAATAGTTCATATAAATTAACATACAATACAATCAGATATTTGCCTAGCTCATATTTATATTGTTTATATCACATTTTCATAGACTTACCTAGACCATAACATATATACCTTTACTTATAGACCTCATGTCATTTCTTATATATCACATATAAGGTTCAAATATAGTTTCATAACACATATCATATACATTCACACCATATAACATATAATGTCAACTAAGCATATTCACATAATACAAACATAAACATGTATCTTCTTATGCAATCATATATTAAAATATTGTAAACAGACTTGTCACCAGTCTAATTTCCATATGGTAGTATGCATATTCTAATACTATGCACTCACATGGCCTTACTAGTCAATATCGATCCCTTATCTCTTCTCGATGACTATTACTTGTAAACTTGTCCGGACGTTACTCTCGATCAATATCTACACAATCATGTATTGATACATATCAACATTCCAATTGAAATACTCTAATCTTCATTTCTTAAACTAAAAGAAAGATATATTTCCATTTTCCCTTTGAAGTGTATCGGTACACACTATAGGGTATCGGTACATCCCTTCACTAGTGTATCGGTACACTGCCTATGTATCGGTACACAAATTACAATAGAAATTTTTTATTTCAAGGGGGTATTGATACACTGCCTATATATCGATACCCTTTGAATATCTTCTTGAATTTTTACTCTTGAGGTATCGGTACCTGTTGAATGGGTACCGATACCCCTTTCCCAGAAAATCATTTTTAAGCCCAAAAATTCACCCAAACTTACCTAATTCTTCTTATATAACCTCCTTTTAACCCTATAAACTTAACTACACTTATTCTAGCCAACTTATATCACTATAACTTACCTTAATATCCAATACTCTATCTTAAATTTGAAAACCAATATTCTTACCAATTTATTAACATGTTATAAATTTATTTCTCACACTTTGAATTTCTTATTTTGACTGATGACAAGTCAAATTTAACTTTCAAATTCAATTACTAACTCTTTTCCAAGATTTCACTTTGAAACCTCTTATTTTCAATCTCTCATAACTTGTTAATCTTTGAGTTTTAAACCATTTAAAATTTCCCTTAAGCTTTCTTATCACTCTAAGGATCAAAACCAACTTAAAAATAAAAGGAAATCTTAACTTGAGACTAACTCACCTTATTCATGGTGCCACGGGAAGAAGAAGAAAGCTTCACCCATCTCTAGACTTTTCTTTTCCTTTTTCCCTCTTAATCCCCATGTTTTATATAGCCTACAAATAAAAGATAAAAATCTTTCTGTCAAATGACCATTTTACCCTTCTAACTTTCAATCTTTACTAATCAATCATCCCCACATAAATTTTCAATTAAGTCCTTGAACTTTTAATCTTTTCTGAAATTGAGCACAAGTTTCCAAAATTTACATTTTAGTCATTAGCCCTATATTTGGGATGTTACATTATGCTTTCCACAATCAACTAATATATTAATTTCATGCAATTACTATATACTCTAATAGTATAGCATTCGATTTGAATAGTCTACTTGGTTTAGCTACGATTTCGAACATGGAGAGAGTACACAATCATACACATTTAATTTAACGATCAATTAAATCAACCAATTAAATATTTCAATATTTCATCAATTCGATCAATGCATAATCCACCATATAAACAACACACCATCTATATGACATCT